TGGCAACATGGAAACTATGAGTTAGCTACGATGAGCTATAGCTAATCGATTATTTTTCTTCAGAAGTGGATGTACCAATTTTGTTTTTGTCTATTTTTTATTTATTTCTCGTCTTTCTGTTCGTCCTTTTTTGTTGTTAATGTTGTTAATGATACTTTGTGTTAATAACACTTTGTGTGCTCATTCCGAGTTAAACCAGAGCTGTCGAAACAGTTTCATAACCACAAAGGTAACAAGAGATTGCACCCACAATGGCAACTAATTGGTTTATGGCAGACTACTCCTGGTCAATTAAATGCATAATTCATCMCAGCATTAATTATTCATCTCTTAAGGGACTGGTGTTGTGCTTTATTTGTGGGAATGCGTCATGCATATTCAAATTCTTTTTTCTTAGTGAGCCGCAATATAGAATATCCTCTCAGCCGGGATTACTGTTCTGAAACAATTGCTGCCAGGTCTGTGAGACCACCTCTGTTAACCAAACAACAAAAAGACTTATAAACATAAGTAAGTTATTTTTTTATCATTCTGTAAGCTTTGTGCTGTCTTGTCTCTGAGAGTGACATCTAGCAAATGAAATTAAGCATAACATTAATTCTAGGATTTCACAAAACCGAGCACCTGTGTAAAAGACCTCCCACATCTTACGTGACATTTTTAAAGATCACATTTATTCCACTACATCACATTATCATTGCTTCAGATGGCAGATGACATGTGCTTTAAAAATGTAAGCTTGAAAAAAAAAAGAACAAAATGGAACATAGCCTTGCAGTCCTTGATGTTCACTCCTTGAAACGTTTAAACTTATTGTTTCTCAAGTGAGTTCTGTCCAAAGAAAATACCTTTGGAGCAGTCCAAAGCTTTGTTCATGGAAATTTAATATGAATAGAAATCATTCTCCGAAACAGATTTTCATCCATGTTTTATTTTGCCAAGTTTTGCACATCTGCTGCAGTAAATTAGAACAGCCAGCTCTGCGATAGAAAATAATGTATTTTTTCATTCCGTTTTTTTACAGTATCCATCAATGTTTATTGTACAACAGTCACCTTATATCTTTTTTAAGGATATAAACGTAGAATGTGTTCTATCTGTTTGATTAAAAGCACTCAGCTGGAACCAAAATCTGCTTTTTAATTGGATATTTTTCCACACAATATACAACCGTCTGCTTCTCTGGCTTGTTTGTCAATGGCACTTTTACAGAATAGTTTGCATAACACGAAAACTCAATAACACTGCCTGGCACGCTGTTGGAAACCTCGATGAATCGCAGAGTCTGAGACTAAGGATGTATGAGAAAAATCCAACGACTGTCAGGATCTTGCAAGCTCAGAAAATAGGCAGCTTGTCAGATCAAGAGGAGGAAAGAAAATYTTTTCCTACAACTCAAATTCCACTTTATCCTCATTCCGTTGTTTTCATTTCTTCTCAAGTTTCTCGTCCGAATTCAGACGGTGTCTTTGTCAAATTCACAAATAAAATACATGGTGGGATGGCACGCCACGTCTGTCCACTCCCCGGAGGCCAGCATCTCCGCGCAGTCCTCGTCGTCGTAGGCGTTGTTGGGTTCGCCTTTTCTCCATTTGCTGAAGGTGGTCATGGGCGAGCGGTCCACGTAGGTGAACTGGCCTTCGTGGTCGAGGTCGTGAACGCCAATGTAGACCCTGCTCAGGCCTGCATCGGCTATACATCCCGCAATGGCTGCGTTGGCACCGTCGTCCTTCGGCATGGCCAGGTGCCCTCCCCTCGACTGACAGTAGACCTCGGCGTCGGCGTAGCGCTTCGCTTCCTTCACCAGCAGATAGACCTTACRGTCTGTCTCTTTTATGCCGGCGACAGCTGCAGGGGAGGGCAGTGCTGAAAAATGAGCACTTCGTTCTTTGTAAATTTCTTATTGACATTGAACAGTCTCAGCTGTACAAGCCACACTTGTAAGAGCCTAACATTAACAGGAAAATTATAATGTTTTTACACATATTCAGTAGATTTGTAGAGAATGGCTTAGATAATACCATTTTTGATGAATTTCAGTTCCGAGGACAGTTGAGCCACAAGAATGTCCATTTCTCCAATCATCTTTCTTATTGGCATGCACTCGCATGGAACACCTGAAAAAGGCAAAGCTGTAAAAATGGGTTTGGCAAACAAATAAAAACATTTTATTTCTCACCTGGTTCTCCATCGGGACCAGTTGGACCTGCCTCACCCATATCTCCCTTGATTCCTAAGAGAATAAAAATGGAATTAGCCACGGACTGTGTGTGGTATTTAAAATAGAACGAAGGGTACGTCTTTCGATAACTGTATCACCTTTCATTCCACTTGGGCCAATTTTTCCATGACGTCCCATAATGCCTTTTTGCCCTTTAAGCCCAGGTTGCCCTAGAAGCGGTACACATTTCAAGCAACATCTTTAAAAAGTCTTTACATCCTTCATTCTAGAGAGAGAAAAAAAACAGAATCTGCACTTTAAATGATTTCTCTTAAATCACTATTTACTTCCACTGAGGTTCTGTTAATTAAAATCAGGAAACACTCTTCCCTCCTCATTAAGGTCTTCAGTAAACACTCCACAAATCATCTCTACTCCAACCTCATACCCCAATGTAAACACRGAACATCTCTGGCTGGCCTGTTAGTGATGTAACGGCACATTATCAGCCTAAGAAATGTGATCTTTGCCCCAATTTCTGCTGCATCTACTAAGTTTAAGTAAATGTGTGCATCTGCTCCGTGTTTTAGTTTTAATTTTCTCCTCAACGCTTAGTTTGTTCTTTAAATTATATATATATATATATTTTTGTCCAGCCTCATTGGCAGGCAGGAAGTCACCTGTGGGCCAGAGGTGGCCCACGGTCCACCAGTTTAACAGCAC